CCCCCCTGGCGCCGACACTGATTACTAATATTCCAAAGTTTCGTTGCGAAATGTTGTAAAATGCGGATAATATAGCCTTGCGAAGTTTGCCGTTTTTCAGTCATTGTATTGTTACAAATGGGAAATTGATAATCAGTTTGATCATCTGATTATCAATTTCCCGTTTGTAATGCAAAATGAATGAAAAACGGCAAACTTCGCAAGGCTATATTATCCGCATTTTACAACATTCAACGAAACTTCGGAATATTACTAATTTTGTGATGCTCTTTCAAGCTGTGGTGAAATTTTTGCCCAGGCTTGTCTAGATCAAAATTTCACTCAAATGAGGAAATTAAGGTCTATTGTATAGAGGTGTGCAAATCCGATCCGAATCCGATCGGATTCGTTCGGATTTCGGAACCAAAATGTAAATTTCGGATCGGATTGATAAAGTTGTTTCGTAGTCGGATCGAACTTCGATATCTGAAATTAAATGAATTAATTATCCATGTATTATCGCAAGAATTAATTATCCATACATTTATCAAAGTATCATCGCGGTTTTCCCTGCATTATTCGTTTGATACTTCAATTGGACGTCACTTTGCCAGCTTCTTAATTGACATGTATTTCTTGTTTTTATATTTATTTGGTTTATTAATGAATTCTTCGGATCGGATCGGATTGGAATTCTTTTTTAAAAAATCGTATCGGATTCGGATTAGACAATTTCGGATCGGATTTTAAACATTAGAATTATAAACGTCCAATCCGATCCAATCCACACCTGTAGTCTATTGTCAGTATTTTAAAGGTATATTATTTAAATGATGAAGGTGTGCATGATTTTGAAAAAAGAATGATTATCAGCAAATTATTGTAAGGGCTGCTGCCCCTAGCCCCCCCCCCCCCCCCCCCCCCATGGTCCTGGAAACAAATGTATTGCTTTTTCTCAGACACTCATGGCATGAATCGATTCCGTATTTTTTAAGCTCCGACCACAGTGCTCACAAGTCGCCGCTCGCTGCGAGTAATAACATGCTTTATGTAATTTGTACTATTTTTACTTCTATTTGCTTTTGGTGCCCGCAGCAATCCTAGTAGAATACATTTTATCAGGTGCCCCCAAAATTTTGCCAGGCGGGGGGGGGGGGGCAAAATTTTGCCAGAGGGCCTGGGCCCTCCGGCCCCAGCCCTGGCTACGCCTCTGATTTTTCAATAGCCTTTGAATAAACGATCTTAAATTATTACACATCCACGGTTCCTTCCCAAACGAGAAGCACAAAAACATGTTTTTGGTCCTTTTAATATAATTT